CTGAACACAGGCTACACACATGCAGGTATACCATGCACACAGGCTGCACAGATGCTGCACACAGGCTGCACACATGCAGGTATACCATGCACACATGCTGAACACAGGCTGCACACATGCAGGTATACCATACACACAGGCTTGTCATGCTGCCTCATCTGGGACCAGATGCTCTGGGTTTCAGAGCCTATTCTCTGAAGAGGAAGTCTTTGAGAGCCACTGAGATGGCTCAGAAGGTACAGTTTCTGATACCAAGCCAATGATCTGAATTTGATCTCTGGAAACCAGGTGGTAGAAGGTTAGAACTGACTCCTGCTAGTCGTCCTCTGACCACACACACACACACACACTCACACACACACATACACACTCACACACACACACACACACACACACACACACTATTCTTAACAGTAAGTCATTACAGAGTGACTTAAGTTTCTGTCTGCCCCATTACCCTGCAGCAGCAATTACATTGTTAACTTCACAGTCTCTGTGTGTACTGTAGACTACAATATAAGTTCTTCCTTTCAAACCAGTATGTTTTGGTTTCCGTGTGTGTGTGTGTGTGTGTGTGTGTGTGTGTGCGCGCACGCGTACACACACAAATTTGGGAGGTCAAAGAATAACTTGCAAGACATGGTTCTCTCCTCCCACACATGTGTCTCAGGGATGGAAGTAGGGTCCTGAGGCTTTTATGGCTGGGTCTCTCCTTCCACGTGTGTCTCGGGGATGGAAGCACGCTTTGGTGGCTGGTGTTTTTACTCACTGAGCCTTCCAGACAGCCTAAAATCTTTCTTTTCATTTATATAAAAAGGGGCTTAAAATAAGTCTTTATAATAATAAAAGATAGGGGCTGGAGAGATGGTTCAGTACCCAAGACCACTTTCTGCTCTTCCTGGGACCCATGTTCAGTTCCCAGAACCCATATCAGGGGGTCTTAATTTAAAGAATTCTGCTCCAAAGGATGTGTTACCTTGGCTTCTGTGGGTACCTGTACTCGTGTGAACATACCACATGCAGATACACATCTGTACACAGGTAAAAACAATACAAGTCAATCTTGAAAAAAATACAAGTTCCAAGCTTTTGGGGGGGGGCATTGAGACAGGGTTTTACCATGTAGCTTTGGCTGTGGATGAGCCTGGAGCTTATTCTGTAGACTCATCTGGCCTAGAACCCATAGAGATTTGCCTGCCTCTGTCTCCCAAGTGCTGAGATTAAAGGTACGAGGCTCATCTTTTTAAAAGGAAAGAAATTTGAAACCATGTCTCAACATGGCTAACACCAAGGACACTATGATAAATGAAATAAGTCAATTACAGGAAAGGGTAATTGTGATTTCATCCAGGGGTCGGCAGTAATCTACTCACAGGGAGTGGAGCAACAGCTGCCGGAACTGGGGCTGGGGAGGCGTGGGGAACGGAGAGTCCAGAGCTCTGGAGGTGGGGTGCAGGACACGAGCCGGCTTCGTGGATAGGACGGTAAGTGCAGGAAGTCCTCTAAAGCACTGAGCAATCTCACACGCCCACTACCCGAGTTTTAAAATAAAATTACTGTTCTTTGAAAGGCATTTTATCACATTTATTGCATGGGGGAAGGGGTGTGCACATGCCACAGCCCACACAGGAGAGAAGGACTTGCAGGAATCTGTTCTCTCTTCTACTTGGGGTCCCAGGGATCAAATCCAGGTTGTTGAGTTTGTTGCAAAAGGGCCTTTGCTGCTGAGTCAGGTCACCCAGGTATCAATCCAACTGCATGAGGCAGCTGCTCAGGGTGGGCTTTCCCTCTCTCTAAGGTAGGCTCTTTAGGGGTTGGATTAGGATGCAGAGAACTCAGGAGAGCAGTTCCAGGAGCTGTTTCCCGATTGCTTTAGGCCAGGGATTTGATAGGTCTGCTGTGTGACAGGCAGACTGGGCAGAGGAGAACTCAGCCCGGCTGGTGGCTCACAGCATGTGAGGTCCCTGCAAGGCCCGGGCTTGAGGTTTGGGCTCAGGTCTGAAAGAAGAATAAGACAGAAGAAAGGGGGCTGAAAGAAGATGGCCTGGTACCCCAACCTGCACCTCGGGTCGGGGGGGGGGGGGCTTCTAGGTTGGAAGCATTTGTTAGCACTATCTACCGCGGATGTCACCCTTCTGATTGCAGAAACTGCACCTTTGATTTTAGCGGAACTCGAGGTATGTCGTGCCTCACTGAGATGCTGAGTCCACAAGGTACTGAAAGAACCAGGGCTGTTTGTTCTGTTAAGCAAACCCTTCCCCCAGGCCCTGTGCTGGGGATGAGCTTGTGAATTAGGTATGGCCTGAGACTTGGAATACTTTCTGTTAGTAGAGGGAAAGAGTCGTGTAAGCAGTCATTACCCCACTCCCACTTGAGAAACCTTCGGGCTTTACACTTTCTCAGCCCCACCCCTAGGTAGCCAGGAAGACCGCTTGTCATCTCTCTGATTATCGTCACAGGACTATGCTAATCTCAGATCTACTGACATTCAAGAAAAAATAGAGGTAATGCCCCTTATGATTTTTTATAAGTAGCCCTGCTCTGAGAAGCTGCAGAATGAGCTGGACACAAACACAAAGGTTATGGCCAGAGGCCTAAATGCAGACAGCAAGATAAGAAACTGAGACATTTTGAAGAAAAGCCACCATCTTGGTTCTTCTTAGAAGGAAGGAGAAATGGGGTTTTAGTTCAATTAACTGGAAGTGAAAGACACACACACCTATCAAAGAGAATTCCAGGCCTGTGTTCTGACACGAACCAGAGGGGTAGCTATCACTGAACTAAAAGTAACTGAAGGAATAAGTTGGGGAAAATACAAATTCAGTTTGGATACCTTAAATTTGAGGTGTGTGCTGGCCAGTTTTATGTCAACTTGACAGAAGCTCAAGTATAGGAAAAGGCAACTTCAACTGAAAAATGCCCCCACATACTGGCCTATGGCACATTTTCTTCATTGATGATTGACGTGGGACTGTGGGCAACGCCACCACTGGGCTAATGTTTCTGGGTGTGATAAGGAAACAGGCTGAGCAAGCCAGGAGCCCGCCTGTAAGCAGAACTCCTCCATGGCCTCTGTTCCAGGGCCGTAGGCTCCTGCCCCGACTCCCTCAGGTGATGGACCACAAACTGTGAGATGAAATACATCCTTTCTTTCTCCAGCTGATTTGGGTCCTGGTGTTTATCAGAGCAGTAGAAAGCCTAACTAAGATGAGCTGTCCAGTGGGTGCCCAAGCAGAGATACCAAAGAGCAGCTTGGTACTTGTGAGAGGAGTCTAGGTGTAAGACCGGACAAAATCACCCCACATGCCTGTGCCAACGTCTGAGTTAGACTTGGACAGGCGTGGTGGCACGGGCCAGCACTTGAGACTGAAGGCAGAAGAGAGCTCAGTGCAATGAGGAACAGTACAGAGACAAAGGAATGACCAGCTGGAAGGCAGACAGCCTAAAGCCATCTCAAAGAGTAAGCCTCAAGTCAGACTTGCACACAAACCAGAATCTACCCTTAGATCTGTGGCCAAGTCACCAATGACCCTAGGAAAACAAATCTGTTATGATCATTTTATTTTTGGGTTTTTGCTTTATTTTTTTGAGACAAGGTTTCTCTGTATAGTCCTGGCTATCCTGAAACTCATTCTGGAGACCAAGCCGGCCTGAAACTCAGAGATCTACTACCTGCCTCTGTCTCCTGAGTGCATTATTTTTGGTGGTTTTGTTTGTTTGTTTGTTTGCTTGTTTTGGAGATAGGGTCTTCGTAGCCCAGGCTAACCTTGAACTCACTAGAGATACTGATCTTCCTGCGTCTACCTGCAGAGTACTTGGGTCAGGTGTGCACCACCACTGCAGGGCCTTGAACTAAGCAAGCATTTCACACCTTAAGTTCCATCCTCAGTCACAGAACTCAGACAGAAACTGGAGCCAACTCTTTGAAGTTGCGCTGTGAAGTATAGTCCTCCGGTCAACTCACTCACACCTGCTGGTGGCTGTTTAGCCATAAGGACATTGCTCAGAACTGCCTTAGTCAAGCAACTGTATACGGGTACTCCATAGAGGTCTTAAAAAAAAAACCAAAAAACAAAAAAAACAAAACAGTTTTTCTGCCAGATGGCAAGACCTACTTTGCTTTACATTCATGGGTAGAAATATGGGCTGTGTTTGGAGTTTTTCAACCTTGGCACCAATGATGTCTCTGCAGGCTTTGTCTGTGGGGCTTTGTTACACACTGTAGGGTATTTTCTAACATCCTTGGCTTCCCTTTTTAGGATTTATTCTTATTTCATGTGTATGGTTGTTTTGCCCTGTGTCTGTGCACTACATGTGCCTGGTACCTGAGGCCAGAAAGCGTCAGATGCCCTGTAACTAAAGCTACATACAACTGTGAGCTGCCATCTGGGTGCTGGGAATCGAACCTGAGTCCTCTGCCTGAGCCGCTCTCGGGGCCCTTCTGGCTTCTCTTTAGCAGCATCTTCACTTTGTCTTCCTAGGACAAAATCAGACCTGGTTGAGAACCTCTGGCTTGCGGCATCGGGACAGAAATCAGAGTTCATGAGTACAAACGCTAGAAGCTATTCGGGATGAGGCTGGGGACTTGCTTCTACTTTACAGAACCACGGTGTGGTTCAAATGAGAATGCTTGGCCCCCAGCTGGAACCGTTTGGGGAGGACCGGGAGGTGTGTCACTGGGAGTAGGCTTCGAGGGTACAGAAGTCCACACTATTCCCAGTTAGCGCGTTCCCTCTTCCTCTGATTTGAAGATCAGGATGTAAGCTCACTGCTGTGACAGCCATGGACTTTAGTACCCTTAGGAACAGAGAACACTAATTAAATGCTTTTGTTTCTTGGTCATGGTGTATTGTCTCTTCACAACAATAGAAAATAATAACTTATTAAAATACTTAAAAATTGTTGAAATATATACAATATATAAGAAATAGTTGAACAGTAACTGAGACACAAAGGCAAAAATGAGCACAGGGAAAGAAATGTTGGGGATTTTAGCATCAAAAACTATGGAAGCAAGTGAGAGGGTTCGGAAGATAACGTGGCTGAGTGGCAGGAAGGACACCGAGTGCCCTCACTGTCACTGTGATCAGCCGGTCAGAGCAGCCAGCACAGCCATCTGCTTGCCCTTTCAGCTGCACAGATGGACATGTACAGTAGGTGATGACGGGGGCTGGAGATGCAGCTCAGCAGGCAGACCACTGGGGTCAGTCCCTAGCACTGTGTAGATTAGGTGTGGTGAGGTGCAGCTGTAATCCACACCGTGTAGATTAGGTGAGGTGAGGCTGTAATCCACACCGTGTAGATTAGGTGAGGTGAGGCTGTAATCCACACCGTGTAGATTAGGTGTGGTGAGGTGAGGCTGTAATCCCCCGCTGTGTAGATTAGGTGTGGTGAGGTGAGGCTGTAATCCACACCGTGTAGATTAGGTGTGGTGAGGTGCGGCTGTAATCCACGCTTGAGGTGAGGCAGATCAGCTCATCCTCTTTATTTTGCTCAAGGCCAGTCTGAGCTTGAGGAGATCTTGTCTTGTTTTGTTATTTTTTAATGGCAAAGGAAGATGAAGCATCTGCAACAAGGTGTTTGTTACTGTAATTTAACTGAGGAAGGGAAACAATACAGAAAGGAAGTAAGATCACAGGGTTGCAGGTCCTGGTAAAAGGAGGAGTCAGCACAATAATAACCGAATAGCCCAATTATGGCATCAGAATGGGACGAGACCGAGATATGTAACAGTGTGTTGCCAGAGGCAGGGCATGGTCGTGTACACCTTCACTCTCAGCACTCAGGAGGCAGAGACAGAGGCAGGTGGATCTCTGTGAGTTTGAGCCCAGTCTAGTCTACATAGCAAACTCCAAGCCAACCAGGGCTACATAGACCCTGTCTCAAAGAGAGAGGGCAGGGAAAGAAAGAAGAGGAAAGAGGATGCGTGCACTAACTCCAGGCCCAGCGGTACAACAGATACGAACGATTCACACCAGGTGTTATCAGAAGCAGTCTTTCTAAGAAACCAGGTCCCATAGCAACATTGTGAAGGAAGCATTTGGAGGAGAGGGTAAGGATATATAGACTTCACAAATGGCTGGGAAGTTTCAGGAGTTTGGAAGTGGGACAAACAAACAAACAAGATGGAAAGATGTGGCTGCCAGTGGGTAGAGGGAAGCATGTTAGTTCAGGGCCTCTAGTGGCAATATATACAAGATAATGGGCATGAATCTGTAGTTCTGATGCTTGCACTGGTGCTGAGGTGTTGTATATCTGGGGTGCTCCCCAAACTGGACAGTGAAATGTTTGTAGGAGGACATCAATAAAGGTTATGAAGGACAGGAGTTTTAGTAAAGTTGTAACTTTTTTTTTTTTCCCTGGATTTTGAGACTGTTTCTCTGTAGCTTTGGAACTAGCTCTTATAGACCAGGCTGGCCTTGAACTCACAGAGATCCGCCCGCCTCTGCCTCCCGAGTGCTGGGATTAAAGGCGTGTGCCACCACCACCCGGCAAGTTGTGACTTTTTTAAGTGGCATCCTGAATGTCTCCTTCAGTGAATGTGCCAATTCCCTAAGCACAGAATGGTCAGCACAGAGCACAGCACTAAAATACTCTTAGTTAGGATGCTGAGTTAACGGGACGGTAGGAGGCACCCATCAGAACCATCTGCACCATCAACCAAGCTTAGTTAACGGGACGGTAGGAGGCACCCGTCAGAACCATCTGCACCATCAACCAAGCTGAGTTAACGGGACGGTAGGAGGCACCCATCAGAACCATCTGCACCATCAACCAAGAGCTACTCTGACCCTCACCCACTTGTCCACTGCCCTCACCAGTAAGAATTTACCCAGCGCTAACTCTGTATCAGTCCAGTTATCAACATACAAAAAGGATTTTTTTTATTGTGGAGTCATCTTGGGGTTCCATAGGGACCCTAAGTCTCGTGTGGAATCCATACAGTTGCCAGAGAGGAGCAGAGTCCATAGCATCACCAAGATCACTCCCGCATCAGCACCGCTTGGCAAGCTGATGCCGTCAGTCCCTCCACGTCACTTCTACTTCATCCGTCCTATACCTGCGAGAAACAGGAAAACACCCGTGACTGCCTCTTAGTACTTTATTTTCTTTGATTTTTGGGATAGCATCTGCAGCCCAGGCCTATCTCAAAATCACAATCCGCTGGCCTTGGCCTCCCATAGGACCACAGGACGTGCATCATCTGTTCTCTGACTTCCTGAACCTACTGTCCACTCTCTCACAGGAGGACGTGGCTCACCTCTGTGTGATTCCAGACTCTGTGAGAGGGGTCCTATGTCCAGCCTGAAACATCTCCCAACCTGCTTGGGCTATCATGGCTCCATTGTCAATGCAGAATCTGGGGAAGAAGAGATAACAAGACTTGTGGCCTAAACACAGAAACCATTTATAACCGTAATAACAGGAAGAGAAGAACTCAAGACAAAGACAAGGTTTCACCTTTCATCTGTTGCAAAGAGCCGGGCTCCCCGCTCCTGGCACATGGCTGCCATCATCTCCTGCAGCCTTGTGTTACCTGTGAAGAGACAGGAACCACAGAGAACTGAGGTCTCGCTATCCATTATCAAACCAGCTATGCTTCTAGGACAGCTTACCAGGAGACCGGGGAAGTACGGGAGAAGAGAAGAAACAGATAAGCCTCCAATCTCTGCTAATGCAGAGAATCAGGAGGAGGATGGCTAGCAGGACTAGGGAGAAGCACGCTTCCTGGTGACACGTACATCCAACTCCTCCTACGATGAGGGCCTCGTTGGAGCCACAGTGTGCCATGGCTCGCTCTGTGATCTCCACTAGCATTGCGAACACCGTTTCCTGTGGAGGACAAACAAGAGGGAGGTGTCAGAGCAGCACCCCGCCTGCACTCTAGTTCAGCTCTACTCTAGAGCAAGTTTGCACCCCAGCTTCTCACTCTTTTACCTGTAAGGAGAAACACAGGTCTTCAGGAGTACATTCCCCTGTGGCCAGCATTCTCTGCGCAGCATCCTGCAATCAAAGGGTAAACAACCCAAAAGATGAGCACCGTGGTGCGCGAGGCTTTCATGAAAACAAAAATCCCTGCCTTCGGAAGGACCGCTGACCTCACGTCACACCCCCACGTCGTCTGCTCCTGTTTATTTTTGTTTTCGGGTCTTTTCCCCAAGTAGGGAGGGACTGTTTTACCCTCCCTGTGCTCCTATTACAAAACAGTGCCCGGCACACAGAACCTACTAAACCAATCTACCCAGCACCTATTATGAGTGAACGCTTACACAGGAAGTAAACTGAGCAGAGCAGACACACTGTTTCTAAGAGCGTGTGCTCCTGTCTCCCACTCTCACCTCAATGAAAGACAGAATCCCTGAGAATGAGACATCCATCCCCTTCACAGTGTATGGCAGCTCAACTAGCTTATTGCCCCTATGGAGACAGGACCTGGAGTCAGCAGGTGGCTCACCCTCTGCAACCCCCCCCACACCCATTAGTACACACGACAGCACTAGGGGCCGGTGCTCTCCACGTCCTCTCACCGCTTTGCCATCTGCTCGATGTTGTAGCCTGGACTTGGGTCATTGGAAATCTACCAGCAGGAGAGAGAGGCAGAGAACCATGAACGCATCATGTAAAACGCGTTCTTCTACACACGTGAATCCTCTCATCCTCAAATCAAAGTGAAGTAATCAGCATTTACTTTCATAATTGTACACGTACAGAGGAACAAGCATGTTTCTAACAAGCAACTGATGTATAAACAGAGACATAAACGGTTAATTTTCTCCCTCTGCTAAGTCAAGTGGCAGAGAATGGAACTCAATTTGCAAGAAGCCCAATACCTACTTACTGCTCCCTGCCTTTTATTTCTTCTTGCTCCCCAGAAATACACCGTACGCACACTACAATCTCAAGGGCCTACCTTCAGCACGCGAGCAAAACGATCCAGGCAGTTTCCCACAGCAATATCAATAGTTTCCCCAAAGATACGGTAACGATGTTCTGAGTAGGAAATCACCTAAGAACAATGAGAAGGCCCATGACACTTCAAGTCTATAAAGAGGAGTGTTTAGCTGTGTGGAAGGAAGTAGCACAGGGCCAACATTAGATATTCCAGTAAGAAAGAAGGCAAGCTGTCTAGTGTCATACCTGTAATTCTAGCACTGGTGAGGCTCAGACAGGCAGCCATGTTGAGCTACACAGTGAGGTTTAAGGCCAGTCTAGACATATAGCAAGACCCTGTCTCAAGAAAACCAAACCAGCAATTGGTAAAATGGCTCAGTAGGCAAAAACCCTTCCCTAGTGAACCTAGAGACCTGAGCTTGATCCTGGAACTCCCGAAGGGTGTTCCCTGATAAGCACATGCTCGTGTCCATACACAAAAGTCATGTGTGTGGCCACGTCTCACACATATCATACACACACAAAATAAATAAATCCAAATATGATCAAGAGATTACATATATGTATGAAGCTGCCAAATTAAAAAAAATTATCAAAGAACCAACAAACCAGTGTTTACTTTGCAACATATATTAAAATTATAATGATACAGAGAAGATTAGCAAGGCCCATGCACAGATTACACCAACTCATGAAACATCTGTATTATGTAGACTAACCAACAAAACCTGCACAGATGCACACACGCACGCACAGACACATACCAAAAACAAGCCCTAAAAATAAGAATTCAAAACAGAGCTTGTTGTGGTGACCCACACAAGGCATTCCATAAGAAACAGAAAAAACAGGGCCAGGTGTGGTGGTGCAAACCTGTAATCTCAGTACTTGGGAGGAGTTAGGAAAACCAAAATGTCTACCGGTGAGAACCTGTCACCAATAGGACAAAATAGTAACAACACCAACAACAATAATAGGCTCGTGACCCCGCTACTTAGGACCACGGAGTCTAGGGCTGGGCTGTCTGAAGACTCTGGCTCACAATTTTCTATTAATTTCTATTATTCCCCAGAGCTGACGCTCTCCTCTGACCTTCCTTGTGCTCCTACATACCGCAGGCAAACATCCAAACACGTTTTTTAAAAAGGCATTATCTTGAAGAGTTAAATCCACATTCCTTTGCCTTTGAACTGCAAATTCTGGTTGTAGGAATAAAGTTCTAACATTTTAATTCTCCTCCAAAACTTGCAACTTTACACCTATATCGTGTTTGCTATAGTATCTTAGGCCCAAAGAACTTGGTTCTGTCTTTACAGCTCCTACAACTCAGGTAGGATACCTCAGAAGTAGGATGGAGCATAAAGATTACTCTTAAATACCTGAGTATTTCCTCCGCTGACATACAACACAGTTGGGTTCATGGCTCCAGTGACGAGGCGGCCCATTTCAATGTGGCCTATGCAGTGGTTCACACCCAGCAAGGGCTTATTCCACAGCTGGGCCACAGTGCGGGCAACAACAGCTACAGAAGCCAGCGGGGCCCCCATACCAGGACCTAACAGGGTATAAACGGGAATTAGGAAGAACATCTGGAGAAAGCTGTGGTTCCGCCCATAGGCCTCCCTCGCTGACCGTTCTCCCAGACTCGCCTTTGGTGTAAGCGATGCAGTCGATGTCCTGGGAGGTTAGCCCAGCCTCCGTCAGTGCCTCTTGCAGCAGGTCTAGGATAACTGCTCGATGGTGCCTGGCTGTGTCACCTGGAAGGAATCCTGAGGAAAGGCATGCAGATAAGAACCGTAAGGAAGGCAGGTATTAGGCTGGTGCAAAGGGAACTGTGATACAGGGCTATGAATTTTAAATTATATCTAGGTTAAAACACATTTTGTTTTGTTTTATTGATTTTTATTGCCCTCTACATTTTTCCCTGCTCTCCTTCCTGCCTCTCCCCTCCCTTCCAACCCTCTCCTAAGGTCCCCATGCTCCCAATTTACTCAGGAGCTCTTGTCTTTTTCTACTTCCCCCAAAACAGATTTTTATTAAACAAAGCAGGAACCATTTTAAACAACACAGTTTGCTAAGACACCAGTTTGTTAGCAGGGCATGGTGGTACACGCCTTTGATCCCAACACTCCGGAGGCAGAGACAGGTGGATCTCTGTGAGTTCAAGGCTACCCTAGTCTCCAAACCCACGATAGCCAGGGCTTTGTACAAAGACCTTGTTTCAAAATCAAACAAAGAACAACAAAATAAACAAACAAAAACCAAGACAAAAAAAAAAACCTGGTTTGTTTATTCCTGAAGCAAACTCTCAGCAAGCCCACCCTGCTGGCTATGGAAATGTTTGATGCCCTGGTTATACCACCACACGCAGTCAGACACTGTTTTGACTGGGGCCTTTCTGTTTATCAACGCTGACTGCAGGACAGTTCATCTCAATGGCTTGCTAAGTGCACTTTCTCAAGTGCAATGGTTTCGCTGGGAATCAGACAGCTCAGTTCAGGGTCCCAGCAGCCCATCAGTGACTGGGAACTTTTTTTGGTAAAGGTTTGGCTTTGGGGAGAGCTTTGGGGCCATTAAGCTGGTTGTGGCCACTTTGCTATAGAATCAACTCTTTGCCTTTGTTAGTCTGATTGGGAAATGGTTCCTGGATGGGAGCAGAAGACAATGGCTGTTTATGAGCCATCAACTTACTGAGCTCTTTAAAAAAGACGTCCCAGCTGGCTTCAAATATCCAATGATCACTGAATGGTACACCCCAAGAAAGTTTTTCTGTAGCTGTAAGATCGGCTTCCACAGCTGCTCACAACAAACACGTCAACTTGTAACAGCCAGCTATTTCTCCAGGGGCCAAAACGTTATGTATTATTAGTGTTTCAATGTCTCCACTGTCCCCACCCCTGCCATTTTGAACTCAGAATAACTGTTCAAAGTAATTCATTACCTATTTATTTAGAGATAGGTCTGAGAATGTAGCCCTGGCTGGCCTGGAACTTGCTATATAGACAAAGCTGGCCCCAAACTCAGAGATCTGCCTGCTTCTGCCTCCTGGACTGGGATTACAGGTTTGGGCTCCCGTGATAAAGGTATGTTAAAATGAGGTATCATAACACTGCAGAACGTATTCTAGCTAAGCATCATAGCACACCCCTGCAGTCCCAGCACGCGGAGGAGGGAGAGGGAGCATCAAACAACAGATGTCAACAGTGCAAAAACTGCGATTACTTGTGTACAGACCTATTAGAAGTAAAAACCAACAAAAATATCTTAATAAAGTAGAAAAAGAAAATCCCTTTACTCACCTGGGTTTCCCACACGCACACCTAGGTTTTAAGACAGTGTCTTTTCAAGCCCCTAATTTTGAGACAAGGTCACACATAACCCAAGATGGCCTTAAATTCAAACCCTCTTCTCTCTGCCTCCTACTATAACTATATATTGTACCACAACTAAGTTTTCTTTCCAACCTCTATACAGGCTACGTAGGTTTTCTGGAGATGCCCATGTTCACATACAGCCTTCATAATCAATTTAGTTTATACAGACTTCCTACCCTTCAGAGACTCTGCAATCCCACAGAACTGCACACAAGTCACACGGTTGGCCTTAGCATATAGTAACTACCGCGCTACGAGTGCCAGGAGCATACCCTTTAACTAAAGGAACCCAGGCCCAGTGACAAGAGTGAGTTCTAAACACACATATATTTCTACTATGTAACCTGGAACATCACACCTGTTTGGGGAGTCTTTATAGGTACACGCTGCTTATATGCGTGTGGGTGCTTTGGGAAAGGTGCTTTGGGAAAGATACAATTTGTAAATAATCTTAATTGAGAATTGTGCAGTGCCTGGTGCTTTTACATAGTTCTCAAAACCCACTGAAACCATTTCCACTTTTAGAGTAGTGAAAAACAGATAGCTACGAAATACAGTAACTTCTGATATCCGCCCTGCTGTCCTTTCGCTCTTCCTAAAAACAATGTTTATCATGCGGTAGTGTCAAGCAATCTCTGTGTGCGACTACAGAGCGACCACGGAACACTTATTTTCGAATGCTTAGCATATTAAAAGGTGCTCAATAAAACCTTAAAACAACCGGGAGTGGTGGCTCACACCTTTTACCCCAGCACTCAGGAGGCATAAGCAGACAGATCTGAGTCCCTTAGCTGGGCCCGGTGGCCGATCCCGCCGCGCGCTCACCCGTGCCCGGGGCTGTGACGTAAGTGCGCCGCGGGTTCGCCAGCACCGTGCCGTCGCGCACCACGCCCACGCCGATCTTGTTGGCGCTGCCTTCGAACCCCAGCACGGCGGGCATGGTGGCCGACGCGGGATCCCGGGAGTGGGACTAGTCGGAACCGGCACCACCGCGAACAGCCCCGGGGCCTGCGGGCGCCAGAAGTGACGTCACGAGGCGCCAGGCGGACCAATCACCGCGCTCCCGACCCACGCCTGGGGGGGAGGGGGAAGGACGGGTCGGGTCACGTGACCGCACCAGGCTCCCACGTGGGAACGGGCAGGCTCCATTCTTTGTGCTGTGAGGGGCTCCCGGGCTTCGCGGGGAGGCCAGGTAGCGGGTTCGGCCAGCTTGCTCGCTGCAGGGCCTCACGGGGCGCGCGGTGGGAAGACTGGGTGAACGAGGCCCCACGGTGTGCGAACGCCCGAGGGAGGAGGCTCTCCTCGCGTTTGATTTCGCCGTTTCTTATCTGCAGGCAGCGCAGTAAACACTGCTTCGGTGCGCCAGGCGCCTAAGGGCTTTCGTCACCGGGATGCCAAAGCGTAGGAAGAGAGCGGCAGCAGAAGACGGGGAAGAACCCAAGTCAGGTAAGGAGATGAAATGAGCCCGTGGGCACCCCCATCCCCCAACCCCAGCAAGTTTACGACTCTACTAGACCACCGTGAACACGGTAAATATGATCCAAGTTACACTGCAGGAGCCCGAGAAGTTGGGTAACTAGTGCGCCTCGTGGGACTATAGATAACCCTGGCCCGAGGTTGGAAACCGCCAGCTCTTACTTTGTTTTATAGAGCCGGAGGCCAAGAAGAGTAAAAGGGCAGCAAAGAAAAACGAGAAAGAGGCCGCGGGAGAGGGCCCTGTTTTGTATGAGGACCCTCCAGATCAGAAAACCTCACCCAGTGGCAAATCTGCCACTCTCAAGATATGCTCCTGGAATGTGGATGGGCTTCGAGCCTGGATTAAGAAGAAAGGTTTAGATGTGAGTACAATTCAGGAGGGAAGTAGACTTTTCTTAAGAATTAATTATCTTAAGAATTAATCATCTTGGGGCTTGGGCGGCGGCGGTGGTGCTCACCTTTAATTCCAGCACTTGGGAGACAGAGGCAGGCGGATCTCTGTGTTTGAGGACAGCCTGGTCTACAGAGTGAGTTCCAGGACAGCCAGGACTGTTATACAGAAACCCTGTCTCAAAACACCCCCCCCCCCCAAAAAAATTGTTTTGAGTCCAGAGGATGCTGTTTTTCTCTTTCTTGTAGTTTGGGGGACGACTGTTCCTTCAGTCACAATCTCCTTGTTTATATCCTTTTTAACTAATCGCTAGAGTATTGGGGTAAAAACCTCTGGGTCTCTAGTGCCCCCTCATTCCCAACTATTAAAAATCTAAGTGGGGGTGGGGCTGGAGAAGGCTCTGTAGTGCCATGCTCCGAATGTACAACAAGCACTCACACGTACACTTCCCATTGTCGGCCACATACGTGTATCCTGTTGCTTAAATTCCTTATGCACAGGGACTCCATCCTGCGTATGGTATGTAGCTAGCATACACGATTTTAACTTTTCATGTTTGCATTCAGTGGGTAAAGGAAGAAGCACCAGATATCTTGTGCCTCCAAGAAACCAAATGCTCAGAGAACAAACTCCCAGCTGAACTTCAAGACCTGCCTGGACTCCCCCATCAATACTGGTCGGCTCCATCAGACAAGGAAGGATATAGTGGTGTGGGTTTACTCTCCCGCCAGTGCCCGCTCAAAGTCTCTTATGGCATTGGTAAGACCCTATTGGTTTTCATGTCTGAATATTCTTTGGCCAGTTGTTACCTCAGCTGATTCTTAGACTTTTTTTTTTTATGCTGGTTTATTTCTGTAGGTGAAGAAGAACATGATCAAGAAGGCCGTGTGATTGTGGCTGAGTTTGAGTCCTTTGTCCTGGTAACAGCCTACGTCCCGAATGCAGGCCGGGGTCTGGTAAGACTGGAGTACCGACAGCGATGGGATGAAGCCTTTCGTAAGTTTCTGAAGGACTTGGCTTCCCGAAAGCCACTTGTGCTATGTGGGGACCTCAATGTGGCTCATGAAGAGATTGACCTTCGAAACCCCAAAGGAAACAAAAAGAATGCTGGCTTCACTCCCCAGGAGCGTCAAGGCTTTGGGGAGCTGCTGCAGGATGTCCCGCTGGCTGACAGCTTCCGGCATCTCTACCCCAGCACCGCCTATGCCTACACCTTTTGGACTTACATGATGAATGCTCGGGCTAAGAATGTTGGCTGGCGCCTCGATTACTTTTTGTTGTCACACTCTCTTTTACCTGCATTGTGTGACAGCAAGATCCGCTCCAAGGCTCTCGGCAGTGACCACTGCCCCATCACCCTCTACCTTGCCCTGTGACACCTGCTGAAATACCTATGCCTGGGAAATAGCCTCCTCTCCCGGTACACTTTCAATAGGTGTCCTTTAGGGTTTTGTTTTTTTATCTGGTCCCGTCCCCCCACCCCCTGGTTTTAAATGCTAAACCAAACATTGGGTTCCTTTGAACAATCAAAGTAAAAATAAAAAGGCCCTACTTTCAACTTGGCTATCTTTGTTTTCCCTTTGTGAATCTACAAATTCCTTTTATTTTTTCATGCACAAAAGTTGTTGAATGGGAAAGGTTAGAGTCATGACATTATTTATTTACAAGCACAGATGAATCCCTAACCTCTCCTGAGACAGCGACCCTACCTCAGCCCAGTTCAGTACTGCAACTGGAAGTAAGGAAAGTCAGGAGTTATTCAGGGAAATACAGAATTAGGGGACCATATTCCATATTAAATAGTTCTATATACATCAGTTCCTGTAGTTCTGTACAGAGCAGTGGCTGACTCCACCCCACAGGACAAGTGGGGAGAAGGGACTGAAGGTACTGAGACCAGAGCCAGCCCCTGGTGAAGTGCAATAGCAGCAGCAAGGTCCTAATGGTGCACAAGAGGGAGGGGAATACCCCCCCACTTCCCACCCCTACCCTGCCCTGGAATGTCTAAGGGTCAGGAATGGTTCTCAGGGAGCACATACAGGAAGGACATGGCTAGAACCATCTTTAGGATCCAGGCTTAGGGGCAACGTTTTGCCTATTTACCCTAAACAGCAACCCTGGAGGAAAGCAGACAGCCAGCAATGGTCTTACCTACCCTTCCAAACCTAAGTAAGGGACTGGTTCCTTCCTACCTCTCCCCAGGGGAGAGGGAGGCAGCTGCTTGGCTTCCTTGCAGAAGTCCACAGAGAGCCTTTTGTAGTGTTACTGTTGCTGCCAGGCAGCTGCCAGGCACAGACTGGATCAAGGGGCTCAGGAGAAGTTCTGGACAGGATGGCTGACCTTCATACAGGCCCAATAAAGGGCCCGGCTCAAACATAGAACAGCCAGCAAAATGACAAATGCCCAGGCTGCGTAGATCCCTCCATATCGCTGTGCAGGCTTCCATGTGCCAAACTGACAGACGAGGAAGAAGAAAAAGAAGAGGTTACCTTTGGTGTTTACTGCTGTAAAGTCTTAGAAAGCAGTACTAAAACACCAACTCTGTCTCTGTTCCCTAGGCACCTGTAACCACCTTCAGGGCCCTTTCCAAGATTCCCTCCTGCCATCCCAGACATTTGACAGCAGTGTTCACTCACTCTTCTCTCCAGAAAGGAAGACCTTCTACTTGTTCATTAGCCACCTTTAACTTCAGTTTACCTGGACCTGGAAATGTTCCCCACCGATAAGGGCCTCATGTAGCCAGCCTGAGCAGCCTCAAGTCCAGTAGTTGAGAATGACCTTAAAATCTGATCCTGGGTGCTGGGACCCACGTTTGCACCACTACACTCATACTGTACGGTGATGAGATCAAACCCAGGGCGTCATGCACGCTAGGCCAACACTTTCATCAGTAGACCCACATCTCAACCGGCAGCAACTCACTCCCTGTTTTTGTATCATAGATGGGGTCTTGATGCCTCTATTCTTGGATTCAAGGCCACACCCCAACACCCAGCTCTTTCACCATTCTCAGATCTTAGCCTGCCGATGAGGCAGATACGAGGTCTGTATCAAGACTACTCACAGCAAGGCCAGTGGCAGTGACTGCCAAGAGTAAACCAAGCAAGAAGCAGCAGATACATCTCTTCCGAGGATATCTGCGGCCAATAGATGACCTGTGGGGAGCCAACAGAAACGGTGATTTGGAATAGCCCTGCTGAATTTATGCCATACGTTACCCAGTTACCAGTGCAATGGCTAACCACTTACACTTTCCTGCAGTGAGGACATCGTGCCAAGCTTCGGTCAGTGAATTCTGTCCACTATGGAAAAAGAAAAACAACCATAGCAAGAAGGCTCTCCTGCAATGAGAACCCTGAGGCAAGGAGGAGGATGACAGATGAGAAACAGGACGGTCTTGGTCAGGAATTACTACTATTCCTAGTACTTGCCTCCTCCAGGGTTTCCCATATCCCTCCTCACCAGAAACGTATTCTTGCAATGTCCACAGATGACCCTGACACCCATTGGCTGTGGTTCTGGACTCAGAGGTCCTGGATGCACAGGCCCTAGGTTGATGATTCTTTTGCTATACAGGGGGAAAAGTATGTTTTTAAAAGTCCTTAATTTTAACTAGATCTGATGACACACAGAATCCCAGCACTTGGGAGGTGTAGGCAGGACGACCAGGAATTGGAGGTGCTGCAAAGATCGTCCTGCCTCCACCGCACAGGTGCGGGGACTGATCACAGGCATGCACCACCTTGCCCAGCTTCAGGTTTTATTTTGTTTTATTGGTTTTTTTTTTTTTCCTGTACAGTTTGCCCAAGTATAGCCTTCCCACCTCATGTCTCTTACCAGTAGGGCCGAGGGCAGGCAATCCGCTGGGAAGTCACCTTGCAGATAAGGAGACAATTACAGGGACATCGAACGTACTTCTTTCCTGGGGGTGCATTCTTGATGGGCTAGGGAACAATGAAAAAAAGAACAATGGGTATATCAGCAAAAAAACCCAACCCTCTCCAAGAACATCACCGAGAAAGGACAAGTTAGACATTTAAGAGAAACAAATGTTGCCAGCATAGTCTGTCTGTGACCTCAGCACTCAGGAGGCTGCAAAGTCTGAGGGGAGCCTGGATCATTGTGAGACTGTCTCACAAAAACAAACAAGAGACCCCCAAAATACAAGAATCAAAAGCCACTACAACAACTGCCAATGAGAACTACACTTAAGGATCCAGCAAAGGTGTGAAAGCGAGAGCTGGTGGGCACTTTCTCTGGTGACGGGCGTCTGAGGAAATGGCTAGTGAAGATCCAGGAACTGAAAGTGGGTTCAGGAAGAGGTCTTCGAGAGGGTCTAGAGTCGGAAAGAGGATACCGGAAACAAGGCCTGCTTTTGCAAACAGGTATAACTCACGGTGGCTTCGTTGCAGACACCACATTTGACTACATGCTGATGCATCTTGCCTTCCACGTTGATCGGAGACTGACAGACTCGACAGGTAATCATGGGGGCGCTCCCACTATCCGGGCTAGTCAGGGGTGAGTAGGGGGGTGGGTCCTCTCCCGGCAGCACTGCTGGGTGCCCCTCGGGGAACGGGGGGAATGCTGAAGAGGAAGCAGATAAACCCACTCATCATGCGGACACTTCCCACGGATGCTCCACGGAGGAAGGATGCCTCGTGGGTGACAGGTGCCACGGGGCCGCACCCGGCGCCGGTGCAGGCTCCGGCCCCGGCCCGATCCGCCCCTAGGCCCCGGTGCACCTCCGACCGCCGG